TAGCGCTTCACACATGGATGCTTCTTGATGCAATCTTGGTGATTTGGGAGCTTCAAACTTGCGATTTTCACACTCACACTGGTAGGTAGTATAGCGCTGCACCCATGGATGCTTCTTGATGCAATCTTGGTGATTTGGGCTCACCAAACTTGTGATTTTCACACTCACACTAGTAGGTAGTGTAGCGCTTCACACATAGATGCTTCTTGATGCAATCTTGATGATTTGGGCTTTCCAAACTTGTGATTTTCACACTCACACTAGTAGGTAGTGTAGCGCTTCACACATAGATGCTTCTTGATGCAATCTTGGTGATTTGGGAGCTTCAAACTTGCGATTTTCACACTCACACTAGTAGGTAGTATAGCGTTGCACCCATGGATGCTTCTTAATGCAATCTTGGTGATTTGGGCTCTCCAAACTTAGTGTTTTTCACACTCACACAAGTAGGTAGTATAGCACGTCTTTCATAGATGACCTTTGATTCAACTTTGGTGATCTTGCCTACTTAGACTCTTGTTTTCACTTATGTAATAACATGTGATGTATCGGATGATCTTCCCCCTATGTGCTTTCCATCTAGTCTAGCATCACTTGGTCTTGTTCATTGGTCTTATTCATACATTGGTGTAATGTTCCGGACGACCTTCCCTTCATGTGCATGTACTTTCCACTAGTCTAGTCTTTCGTTGTCAAGTTCATGTTCCGGATCTTTACTTAGTTGACTCTTCTCTTTGTGCATGTACTTTTCACTAGACTAGTCTTTCGTTCTCAAGTTCCTTGTACCGAATCTTTTTACTTAGTTGAGCTCTTCTCCTTTGTGCATGTGCTTCTACTAAGTCTAATCCTTTATTGTCAAGTTCATGTTCCGGATCTTTTACTTAGTTGAACTCTTCTCCTTTGTGCATGTCCTTACTAGTCTAATCCTTCCTTGTCAAGTTCATGTTCCGGATCTTTACCTTGTTGATCTCTTCTCCTTTGTACATCTACTTTCCACTAGTCTAGTCTCCCATTGTCAAGTTCATG